CTTGATGACAAACACATCCTCTGCAAATCTGCTAAGCCATGTTGATTAAAGCCAAAGAGTATTATATATTTAATATCATAAGTGATTAAAAGGAACAAATGAGGCATAAATATTCTTGACAGTAAATAAATTAAGCATGAAATACTTTTGAGATCCAAGGTTTGTGAATAACAATTTTCATTAAAGAAACTGGAATATTTACACTTCATTATGACAGACAGTTCTTAAGAGTTTTTGCTTTGTTGTGTTTCTTGATTTCTTCTTGGGGAGCAAAAACATAGAATTTTTATAATTGAAAAAAGTCTATAAATAAATTAATGGTTATTACAAGTCAACAATACTTGTACAACCATGTAATTTCAGTATTGTTGGATGGAGTTTTAGTAACAATTTAAAGTAAAAAAAAGGTTTAATAATGTAATATATTAGTTTTTTTTAAGTGCAAATAAAGGAAAAAAATACCTTGGAAAAAAGGGGAAAACAAAGTAATGGTTTTCTTTAACTTTTTTTGGTGTTGCAGGTTTTAAATATTAGTTGACATGAAATAAAAATTCCTACAGTCATGTATTAATCACTTCATGGTTGAACTACTGCAACACAGAGTTGTCAAAAAAATTAATTTGTAAAAAGTAAAAGTAATATATACAAAGCACAATAAAGCAAAGAACAATATAATGATGTATGCCTATACAGTAGTCCTAGTCAGTAGTTCTTACTTAAGGTAAATATGCATAGATAATTATAGCGGAGAATGCATCTGGTTTTTTCCATTTAATTTGGATGTGATAAATGTGAATTCATTGAACTGAGCTTTCAATACAAGGAAAGGCATGCATAAGCGCACCAACGTGCCTACCGTCCCTGTCCTATTGTTTCTCTTATTCTTCTTTTATTTTTCTTATATGTACCCATTTCATGTATTCACAACTATGTATACACTTATACTTATTATCTTGTAAACAATTGGCAAATCAAATAAATAAATAAATAAATAAATAAATAAATATTCTGTCTTAAGTACTGCTGAGTTCAGATGAATATGCTTAGAGCTTCAAGAATATGTTTAGAATATGCTTAGAACTTCCTGTTCAGTCAGTGTACAGCCCCTTCTCCACTATGGAGAATCTCTATGTGGGACTGTTCCACCAACTGTAGAAAGCCTTGATGGGTAGAAGAGGTTCTCAATGACAGAGATAAAACCTCTATATGAGGAGAGAGGTAAATTTTCATTTTCAGGTAAATATATAAATGTTCTGCTTTGGAAAATAAATACTGTAAATCTAAGTTATATATGTGACAGGATAAAGGATCTGAGAAACCAAAAAAGAATTAGGCTAGGAAGAAATTTCAAATACATTCTCTAAATTTGATCATAGGAACCCAAATCTAATATTTATTTTTAACTAGTTTATTTATTTTATTCATTTAGCATGTTTATTACTGCTTCCTATGCAATTATCTCTGAAAGAGTTCACAAAATACAAAATATTACTAATTGTATATTTAGACATAACATGGACTCAGATGGAAGAACACCAGAAAATACTTCAGGTTAGACTGGGAAACTCAGATTGGATAGTTGAAAAATATTCTGAAAAAGTCTATAATAATATCCATATCATTGCCAAGAATATTACATACAACCAGGATATCAGTTCTAGACCTGCCATAGAGATGAAAGCCAGCTGGGTGACTTTGGGCCAGTCACTCTCTCTTTCTCTCAGCCCAGCTCAACTCAGAAGGTTTTTGTTATGGGGAAAATAGGAGGAGGAAAGAGTATTAGTATTTTTACTATCTTATCCTGAATATTTTAAAAATGGGATAAAAATTTAAAAAGTTGAAATTGAGTTTAATTCAAAGGAGACTTACATAACAGTAACAATGATGATGGTATAGTGTGGGTGAAAGCATACACATTGACTCTACATAGTGAGACAGAAATATAAAGAATAGTTCCAGTGGTAGTGAAATTACAAACACACTCTTGTCCCTGCTCACTTTGTAACATATGCACCATTAGTAATTTGTAACTTTCTAGATACATTCTTTGCTTCTAAAGAACTCAGTGGTGAATGGAATCAAAGAATATAACCACAAAAGGAAACTGCCAAAAAAAATTCATCATTAAGAAGTTGTTTTTAGTTGCATTTTGTAGCTGGCAGCTGTAATTTTAATTCTATTCTAGACTCAGTGTGTGGTATGTGTATATTTTGTTTTGTTCATTTATACTTTCCCTTTCTTCCACCCCTGGGGACTTTCTTATTCAGAATTCTCATTTGAAGGATTCTCACTCCCTCCTTTTTTTCTCTCTCCCTCTTCCTTTCATGTGCATAATATGAAGTCGGTTTAAATCACAGTGTCTTCTTATTGCTTTTTAGAATCCAGTATTTAAGCATGTTTTTGAAATAACCAATCCTTGAATATTTTGTTTCTTTTTAAAATTATAGGACTTTTAAAATGTATGTTACCTGATCTTTTATAAGTTTTTTCTTTTCTTAAAAAAGGTGTTAGTCACTATGACACATAGGGTGACTGTAATGAAAAAGAAAGGTAGTTTTTATTTTAAACAAATATATTTGTGCTAGAATAGTGTCTGGCAACTCTTTCTGACAGTTCTGAAGAATCAGTTACATCACATAGGGCAAGTCTGCTATAAACTCTTTTAAGTGTTTAATTTTTTTTAGTTAAGTTTTACTTAAGGCCTAATTTTGCCTATTTTCATTCTTCCTGAACTTCTTCAAATATTTTTTACATGTTTTGGGGCAGAGAACATTTTAGTACTCATAAGATATTTTTTCTCTGTGTATTTATGTTTAATTTATGAACTAATGTTTTTCAACATGCATGTAGAATAGCTTTACAGTATATTTGCAGCTTATATATAAGTAACATTCTCCTCCATGCTGCATCGAGATGTTAAGGCTGATACATCTGTTTTCATGCATGTTGGCTAATATAACTTGATCATCCCATTATTTTTAAATGTCTACTAACTAAAAAAATTTCAACATTGCACCATCATTACCATTGCCATAATTAACAATTACATTTTGTAGTCCAGCTTGCTGTTCCATACATAACAATGAAAACTATATACACTCACGCACACACATAAAAAGAAATGCTGACTTCCCAACTCAAATTGCACTTGCCTTCCAGTTAAAATGAAACAGTGGAAGTGTTTGTTTCCTAATTTATCTATGAATTTTTTGGAAAGTATAATAGAACATTTAAGGTCCAGAAATAAGCTTATTCTGGATAATAACATTATAGCACTTGGTGAAAATCTACATCAATCTATTACAACTGTATAATGAATGTGTAATTCATGTCAGAAGGGCAAGTAAAGCAAATTCTAGAATATCTTATAAGTGTTTATTTTCAGGTTGTAAAAGTTTAGCATGACAATAATTAAAAGTGATGAATTAGCCCAGTGAACATTGACAGAAAAGTATTTTTGCATATTTTTTTGTCATTCGTCCTAATTTATTTCTCATGTTCAAATATTTCTCATTAATGTAATGGAATTTTCTTCCTAAATTTTTACAGATGTCAGAGTCATAAAGTAATACCTACTTGCTGTAATTTTACAAGAAAAAAAATCAATTAATGTTACCTTGGACACATAACTGGGAATGAATGTCCATTAAAGATAAAAATAGAAGTTTGGCTAGATCTGAAACCTGCTAAATAGAATATAGAAATTATTTCATTATTTTCTTTACTTATCCTAAATTTGAATTCCCAGATCTGGATGTTTTATCAGAGTTCCTAGTTGCATTTGAAATTGATAGCATGGTAAGAAAAGGGAAACTGGAAAACATCTACAGAATTTAGTCAGACATTTTTGAGAACTAAGAGAAATGCTGTTCTCTTTCCTCTTCCCTTCCCTTCATTTTATTTGTGATTGGACATAAATTGGCCTTCAAAGAGAACAAAGCTACAGGATAATATATAAATAATATAGACAGTGGAGAAAATTGTATTTTAGCATGTCTGCATATATTAACTCAAAATACCATTTGTAGCATTTGACACAATTAATTTCCAAGTAAATATGCACAGGTTTGTGAACCTGGTTAATATTGCTTTTCTCTAAAACTACTAAGTCTAAAGAGAACTGTAGAAAATGAATATAAGCCTATTTAATTATACCAACAAAAATCAGCTAATAACTGAAATGCTTTTCTTTCATTCAGTGTCCACTATTTTATAACTTTAGATTAATTTAAACCTATGATAAAATGCTTCTGATTTCATATATAAAATATATTTTAAGGAAAATCAGTAGTTCCATCTGCGTTGGCAGATTGACCCATTTATAATGACAAAGTAGAACAAGATTGTCATTGAAAAACCCACCAAGTTAATCTGTGAATTGGTTTCCAGTTCTAATAACCTACTGTTTATCCAGAGAATCTTTATTTAGAAGTCAGTATCAAGAAAAAATACAGGCACTATCTGAATAACTTTTAAAATTATTTACATTGATGTTGTTACTATCCAAAACGGATCATACTTTATTTCTTCTACATGCAGGTGTAATTCTAATTATGGTTATGGAATGTACAAAGTTTTTTAAAATTGAAGTTTACAAATGAAATTCATATCCACTGTCATTATTCTTCGATAATATTATGCAGACAGGAGATGATTGGATATTAATTGTTTAAAATATTTTATTTTGTAGCATTTTTATAGCAAGCCCACATTTAATAGGCAACATTCTTTCATTTTTTTCCAATTCCAAATTGAATACAAAGGGAAGATCAGTATCGGGGTTTAATTCTCATTTTTATGCTTATTGTTGGCTAGAATTTTTTCATATGGAAATGACTTATATCTCATTGTGTTTCCAGGGATTGTAATGTTCTTTTCTTCTCATCCTTTTCAAACCCCTGTTTATATGTGTGTATTTTTTTTCCTCTGCCTAGACCTGGTTAACCATTTATGTGAACAGGTCCTCAATTTTTTACTTTGTCCCTACTTTCCTGTCGTAGCCCCATCTTCCCCTGGTGTCGACTCCGTACCCTTACAGCGCACAGGCAGTCAACTCGCCACACAGAATGCATCAGCGACCTTCCAGAGGGCCAGCTATGCTGCCGGCCCTGCCTCCAATTACGCAGACCCCTACCGACAGCTGCAGTATTGTCCTTCTGTTGAATCACCATACAGCAAATCTGGACCAGCCATCCCACCTGAGGGAACCTTGGCTAGGTCACCTTCTATTGATAGCATTCAGAAAGATCCCAGGTGGGTAAAACTTCTATTTTTTTTTTCTATTATTAATTCATAAAGAGATGTTCGGCTGCAAGCATGGGTATCAAGGTGGTAGATTATTGCATAAACAAATAATCCAGTTCCATATTTTTTTAATGTAGTTCTATTTCATAAGCCAAACCAATTGGCCAGGAATACTGTTACAAAAAATGGACATCTATTAGCATTTTAATCTATTTGCATTTTTAACAACAGAAATAAGAAAATGGCACACATAAATGCATATTATAGTGTCCTTCTGTTCTGTTTTCCATGGAACTTCCTCTACAAATGTCTTATATGTAATTGATATATATTAGTGTTTTTAATTACTTTGCTGTTAGTAAAGATTATTTTGGGTTAAGTGTTTTTAAAATGCCACTCAATTTCCTAAGCTAAGAAGCTGGTGTTAAATGTTTCCAAGGGTATTTTCATATGAATTTTTATTTAAATATAAAAAGTTGGAATCAAACAGGATGTCAACTCATAAAACATTTTGTATACGCATTTTATAGTTGACAACAGAAAGAAGGGGGGAAGTTTCAAAGAGCAGACAGCAGTATGGAATCAAAAGTACATTCCATTCATATTTTCTTCAAAGACTGATTAGATGACTGAAGCTTCTGCCGCAAAAAAATCTAACTGGAGAGCATGATTGATGGCTCTTGGCTATGGAGGTTTTTTGTTGGATGATGCACCCAGAGGGGTTGGGGGGAAAAGCAGGATCAAGGGTGATAGTTGAAGTACGCATCTCAGAGTTGACTACACCCAGGTAAATGCCAGACGTAGAATGTTAACTTCAAATAAATTTTTTTTAGTTTTGGGAGTGTGGCTCGAGGCTCATGATTTAATTGGAATAACTGCCAGAATCCTGACACAGGAGTTACTAAACAAACAAACTTAATTAAAATATGCAACTAATTTTTACAAGACTTCCATTGCAAGTATTATGGCTTTTATGGCATTTAAATGGGACAGACAAAAATGCAAAGTGTATCTAGATATCAATAGCCTAGGAGTTTTAAACCTGTTAGGCTTTTGCCTGTTTTTAAAAATTATTTTATACTTGATGAATTCTTTGGGTTCTTTTCCTTGCTTCTGTTATATTTTCTTTAACTGCCTTCTATTTCACTTTTTCCTAACAATAAAAAATATTTTAGGTAATTATTTTGTAAGTATTAAAAAGATAACATATTAAATGTGTAGAAACACTTGCTCAGACAAGTAGAGTACCTTAATTTTTTAACAAAATATTAAAAATATTTAAAAACCATGTATAATAAAGGGCTCTTTGTTTTTGTGCATATGGTTAGAGGGGGACAGTATTTGAAAATCACTCAGTCTATATAATAAAAGTTTTACACGGCCTCTTTGCTAGGACATTTTTGTTCTAAAACATATTTATTTATTTATTTGATTTATATTGCCACCTATTCGCCCATGGCGACTTGAGCGGCTTACACAGTGTAAAACCAAATTTGAAAAAAATAAATAATAAAAATAAATATATGTGATAAAATTTAGAAGTCATTGTGTCACAAATATGGTTAGATTTTTAAATGTTTCTTCTAAAAAATGTATAACTGTCACTGCTTAACACATCACTTTTTAACATGTTTCTATATGGAAGCTTTTTTAGAATTACAGAATGCCTGATAGCCTCATTTGCTAGATGGTCCCCTGTTGCATTATAATTTCAAATTTGGATCAAAGGGCAATCCATGTGCACAAATGTAGCAGATAGCTGGGCCTACTAGAATGGAAAGCTACAGAACATCTTGCAAGAATTCTAGGGATTTTCACTGGACTGCCTCCTACCAATCATAAAAAGATTGAAGTGGGAATCAAATGATTTCAGATGTTTTTTAAAAAATAAATAATGTCTTCCTGTTCGGACTGTGGTATGAATACAGACTGAAATTAGGCACACTTCACTAGCTATAATGAGATCAAACTTGACCTAGCTCAGCACAGAAAATATAAGCCCAATGCAGTTCCTGGTTAGACACATTACCTATAGCAGTTTCTAAAGCAAAGGTCCTCTGCTTCATTTACTTGAAGATTCTAGCTTTTTGGGGGGGGATATAAGTTTTAATCAAAGGCAGTGAAAAATAAATTTAGCTCTTTACCCCATGCTTTTACCCCAGTGTCATTTCAGTTTCTTTTTCTCTCCAGCGGGAAGAAGTAACTGACTCTGATAAAAAATATCTTTACCTCAGGATGTGTATTCTTTGTCTGGCCTAAACTGTTCTGAATGTCTACCACTTAAGCAGCATTCAGAACAAGAACTTACAGAGTAAATGTTAAAAACAGTTCTGAAAAATGAAATCCAACTCTTCTGCTCTGGAAAACTTTTAACTATGTCTAAAAGTTTGCATTTATATAATTGCTCAATTATTAGCCACTTTTCTTTCTTTCTCATATTTCCCAGTTATTTCCCAAGTTACGCATGGGGGATTTGTATGAAATCCAAGGTTTTGTTTTCTAATTCTTTTGCAATAATGATTTCTGGATCTGGTATATGTATCTGCATTGCAATGGGAATTTGATAAATGCCTAGAAACCTTTGTTAGAAAAAGTTGAAAAATTAGGAAGGGAATTCAGCTTTAGCCAATATGTAACACTATTTCAGGCAGAGTGCAAGGTTTCCTATTAAAGTGCAAGTTAGACTTCCTACTTCTTGCAAATTATACTTGTGCTTCAAATAATTAAAGCCATGGATTTGGAATATGTGTCTGTGTACATGTATTCAAGTTGGGCAGTAATTTTGCTTTGGTTACACAAAGATGATTCAGAGCACATGGGAGCAGAAGTATAGCACTTGTCTACAAATCTTTAAAATAGCTGTGCCTTTCCCCAGGATTACATTTAATCCCAGGAAGAGGCATGTTGCTTTAAGAAGTGCAAGGAGGAGCTATGTTTAGGTGCCTTTCTAGATCAGAATTGAAACACTGCACAAGCCTGTCACATAAACACATACAGTTTAGGAATTCACCAAAAATATAATTTGTAGAGTTTGTGTTTGAAAGACTCACTTTATTGAGAAGGGGATTATGGCAATGCCAATGGAATTCTGCAGAGATGATCCCAATTGTTCGGCAAGAGAAAATATCTGAAAGAGTAGATATATTCACATCAGTCATCAAGGTTAACATTAATTCCAACTGAAAGGTTTAAATGCATCCCAGGCAACAAACATAGCAGACCTTAATCACTTGGAAGCTAGTTCTTGGTAACCCATTTGCATTGCTTAGTCAGCCAAACACTTCCCAAGAATTTAATTTTGCTAATGTAATAATTTGGCTACAAGCATATTCTACAGTTCTCAATCTGCAGCCCAATGTGCTTACCACAGGATGTGATTGACATAATAATTACAACTACAATACTGTTAAGCTATCCTGATCAGAGTTGGAGTCACCAAACAAATGAGGAAAGGCAAATGCTTTTCTCACTGTGTCTTAGTTCCTGCAAAAGTTTTTTAAAAAGTAAGAACAATAGTTGTGAAGTGATCTGAGTTTGTGGTTACTCTTTCACCTTACTCCGTTTTCCTTATTACAGCTATCAGGATTGCAAAAATGAAGACAACCATTAGATGGCAGGAGAGTTGCCATGTTCTGTATCTCTTTACCACCATCTACCATAGTAAAATTCCAGATTTTTGCAGTTCCAATATGTTGGCCTTGATCATTATTCTGGATTTGCACAACATGCTGATCTGTAGTTAATTATTCGATCTTAATACAGCTAGTTAACAACCAGTTATCTAATGGATTTTGCAGCTCAGAAACAGTGTGTCCACTTTAAGCTATGGACTGAGTTTGGATGATATGATAAAAGGACTACCAATATTTGGACTGCAAATATTTGAACAAGTATTAGAAGGCAACGAGGAGTCACAGTTTGCTGCATTCTTTGCTTCTATGTTTCAAACATTTGCAGACATAGTGATTTTGTAGATATAGTAGTTATACTATACTGATACTTAATAACACAACATAGTCAATGGACTCCAGCTCAACATCAGTTTATTATAATTGCTTCACTTTGCAGGAATACTAAACAGTGAAAAATTAAATTATTTTTTTTAAAGTATATTTAGGCTTTATTCAACCATTATATGGCAGTAAACCCTACTGCAGTTTTTGGTATTTCTTATATAGAGTTTTATAATATAGTTGTTATGGAAATGCACCACAGGCCTTGATTCTGACTAATGGAATGTTCTTGTTAATATTCAGAGGCCTTCCTCCTCTGGCTCTTGCTTTGAAAGTTCCATTTCATTCCCTCTGCTGAGTTTAATTTCCTATCATGTGGAGAAGGAAAGTTCCTGGCTTAGTATCTTCAAAGACTTTATATCAATAGGCCTTCTTGTATCCCTTGCTTTGTTCTCTTTTCAAGGGGAACAGAGCTTAATATCCCATATTCTTTGTGGACCATTGGCATTCATATTTGCCTCGCTATCTAGGAAGAACACTCTGTTCTTTTCACAAGCAGTTTATTCATTCACTTATTCATCAGGGAAAACCAACTGATAATAAAAAGTTGTAATTACAATCTTTTTACAAATCTTATTTTGAATATATTGTGAGAGTAAAATATGGAGGGCAGAATACAGGTTTAAGATAAATTGATTTTTTTCCCCTGGAAGTATTCTTACAGTAAATCTGACTTATTTGTTAGGATTTGTTTTCATGCAACATAGAATAAGGAATCGGCCACAGTATAAATTCCAGTATTGTACAGCTTTACAAGCATATCCTTTGTCTGCATTCAAGTAGTACAGATTCACATAAAGCCAAGCCAAAATTCACTGAAAGATTCTGTTACCTTGTGCCACCTTTGTGTCTTTGCGTCATACACATGCAAATAGATAGATGTGTATGTGCGCACATGTGCTGTGATGAATAAGGTGCTGGAATAGGAGTGGGGAGGTTCAGGTTCTGGTCTGCCATGAATTCCAGCTGGTTGAATTGGGCCAATCACTCACTTTC